TTCCCCTCGGTCAGGTACGGTTTCCTTTACACTTTGCCCACACTTTCCTGTCTTGCTTACCCACAGCCACAAAGGAAAGCGTCCAAATAGTCGATCTCTTTATTTTTTGAGAATTCGGCTAAAGAGAAAAAAACAACACACAAAACAAAATTCAGATTTGAGATTGATCTCTTTCTCAAAAAAAAAACCAAAACAACAACAAAAAACGAGATAGGCGAAGGTGGGAAATGTTCAAGATTTCTGCAGCTCCTTTCAAATAAGAATCGCGGAATATTCTGCAATTCCGATTTACAAGAAAGAGCACTTGGTAGAGACCAGGGCAGAACTTTTGCCCGGTCTCTAACTGCTCCCAGGAGATCAAGTTCTCCCGGCAGAAGATGCAAAAACACAAGGGTGACATATCAGGGTGCGTTTTGTTTTAAGGAGACCTGCCTGAGAGCTAGTAAGTGGAGGTCAAGTAGAATTTGATTTTCAGACAGGCTTTGATTTTAAAGTATGGCAGTGACTCGAGAGGCAGGCCGGTTGGCACGCTGTGGTCATTGTTGCCGAGCATCTGTAAAAACGGTGCCGGACAAACCCTGCAAGTCGCCCCTCCCAAGGCAGCACAGCCTCGCTCGGCCCCGCGGGAGGGGCGCCGCTTGCCCTCACTGCGCCCAGGAGACCAGGCGCTCCAGGCCCCTGGGTTTCCCGGACCAAAGCCGAGGCCTCAGCGGGCACCGCCACGTGGCCTGCTCGCGTGTCGCCTGGGCTCCCGCCTCCTCCTGCGGCCGCCCGCAACCGCGACCCTCGGTCTGGCCACGAAAGAGGCGCTTTGCTGAGTCAGTTCTCATCTCTGAGTCCAGACCGGGGAGACCTTGAGTGGACCTCGGCCTGCGCAGGGGACCTGAGCCCAGGGCACTGAACTCAAGCAGCCCCCCACCCCCCAATCTGACCCCTCAAACCGACTACTGCTTCTGGCCGCTGGTTTGCTTTGCAAAGCAACGCATGACCATGAAACGGTTATTCTACCCCAACTGGCTCCAAAGAAGAAAAGGTTGAGCACTGCAAAGATGAGCTTCCCTTCCACGGCGGTTTCCCTTCCCTTCCCCTTCCCCAGCTCACCAACTTTTGTTGCTTCCAATTTGCCAGATTCTACACTAACACCCTCTTTGGGGTTCTTCGTTGTTACCTTATTATACTGAAATGCTTAAAATGTAAACGTGTCCAAGCAATTGGCATGCGTTTGGGGCGCAGGACGCATAACTGACCACTCGACCTCCAGGAACTGGGGTGGGGAAGGAGGTTCTCCCAGCCGGCAGCCCCCCGTGTCCAGGCAACGCTGAGCCCCCGTCTCACGCTTTCGAGCCGACCTTTAGAGGTTGCCACGCGAGGGCTCATTTGGGAGTGGGGTGGGGACAAAACGGCCCTCCACCTTGGGCCGGCAGCGCAGGCGGTCAGGGCCGCGGCGAAGTCGCTGCGCTGCCCCCCTCTGGCCCTACTGCCTCCTCCAAGGACAGGAGGCCGGCCTTCCGCGGGAGAGCGAACTTCTGCCTCTTTCTAGCACCTTCGGAGGTACAGCACCCTGGGTGCTGGGAAGCTTTAGTTTGGATCGCTATTCAGAGAGACAGAACCTCGGACGCCTCTCGGGCAGGGGTGAGAGAGCAGGCCTGGGCGCACATTCGCAGTCCCGGCGGCGTGGCCACGTCTCCAGGAACGCCCACGACCGCCGGGCCAGCCGCGGTAGTTTGGCCCTTGGGACTCCAGGGGCCTGTCTACTTGACCATTGGATGGGCTACGCGGTTGCCACTTTTCTTTCCATTTCTCTCCCGCCCAACCGGCCCCACGGACCTGGAGGGTACTGGGGCGAAATGAGACATCACCCACTGCGCAGAAGCCGCTGCCCTCGCTGCTGTCACAGCCACTCCGGGAGGGACCGACCCCGCGGCCGCGACGGTCCCCTCCGGCGGCTCCCCCGGGCTGCGCTCGGGTGCGGGGGCGCGGCCC